CACTGGGTGGTGGTATTATGCTGGGTGGGTGGCGGTATGTCATTGAGTGGTGGTAGGTCACTCGGTGTGTGGTGGTGGGTGGAAGCCTGTAGGTAATGGTGGTGGTGGTGGTGGTGGTGGTGGTGGTGTGTGGAAGCCGGTAGGTGGTGTTTTTGGTGGTGGTGTGTGGAAGCCGGTAGGTAATGGTGGAGGTGGTGGTGGTGGAAGGGTGAAGAGGTATATTAAGGCGGGCCGCTGGACGAACATTATCATTCAAGTCAACATGGCCAGACAACTCGTATGTTCTCTCCTGTTGGTGGCGCTGACGGTCCTACCTGGTGAGTCTGTCGTCCTAAAGATATTTTTCCTGGTTACGTCACATTCTTGTTGTGTCACCAGCCAACGGTGTAGCGACGTCTCCAGCCCGCACGCCTTATGCCCCATTAACACCTCATAACACAGCAAGTCTCATTACATGTGCTGGCTTCTCCACAGTCCTTTTAACACCATAACACTGACAATCTCCTGCCAGTTCCTTTGCACCCATTAGACGCCACTGATCACCATATTGATAACGATCTACTACACTACACAAACACTATCGCCTTTACGCCACAAAGGGCTCACTATCTGCTTATAATAATATTGTGTTTATATGTAGGGATATTTCTTTCTATCTGGTAATTAGTTTTACCCTCAGTCCAACATAAATTATTAATTAATTATTTTTACAAGAATTTTCCTTATTTTAACTTCAGTGTGTATATCCTTGGAAAGAATTCAGAGGCGAATGACAAGACTAATCCCGGGCATTGGGAACCTTGAGTACAGAGACAGGGTAAAGCATCTTAATTTGCAATCCCTCGAGAGACGTAGAGTGAGGGGCGACATTATCGAGGTGTATAAATGGAAGTCAGGGCTAAGCAAAGGTGACATTACAAAGGTACTCAAACTATCCACCCAGGAGCGAACTCGTAACAATGGTTTTAAATTAGACAAATTTAGATTTAGGCGCGAAATTGGTAAACATTGGTTTGGAAATAGAGTAGTGGACGACTGGAACAAGTTACCAAATATCATCATTAACTCGAACACGCTGGATAGCTTCAAACATAGGTTGGGTGGATATATGAGCAATAGGGGTTGGGTGTAAATGGGACTGCCCAGTATGGGCCAATAGGCCCGCTGCAGTTTCCTCCATTCTTATGTTCTTCTTATGTTCTTATGTTCTTATAACCGGAGCAGTCAGTTGTCTTTCTTAATGTAAGTAAAATCTTCTCACGCTAAATTGTAGTTCTCAGAATAACTATTTTTCTATAATCCTGGGTGTTCCTACTGTTTTCCTTTTCTGGTATTCTTATTTTTCCAGATGTTCTTCTGTTCACCTACTTGTGTTCTCCTTTTATCGTATTGTTGTCCTACTTGATGGTCTCGCTGATCTAACTCTATGTTCTCCAACTAAATTTGTTATGTGTTCTTACAGGTGAGGCGAGCTGGAGCTACAGCGGAAACAATGGTGAGTCTTTATCTAACTGCTTACTCCATCACCAGTGGAGCCCTCACACACACGGGGCCCTTCTCCCCACTATATGTAAAGGAGATGATTATATATATACTGTAGTATGAACACGCACACACACACACACAAACACGTGAACACACACGCGCATACACACGCGCGCACATGCACACACACACACACGTACACATAGACACACACGCACACTTGCACACATACGCACAAACACAGACGCGCACACACACACGCACATACACAGGCGTACACACACACGCACATATGTACACACACACGCACACATACACAGACAAACACACACACACACACACACACACTTTTACTGAAATATTAATATACCTCCACAGAAGTTTTTATTTTACACTTACCAAACCTAACCTAACCAAACCTAACCTAACCTAACCTAACCTAACTTCACCTAACCTAACCTCAGCAGTAGCTCAATACCCTTCTCGCTCAGTCTCCTGCTCGAGCCTGAAGAGGTTGATCAGAGGAGAGAGAAAACAATAGAGTAGACAAAAGAGGCAACTGATTCCTCTGGTGTGTTGGGTGTGTACCAGACCTTGTAGACTGGTTGGAGATGCAGCGTTAATGTACAGATCTGAGCGTCTTTACGTGTGTTTTTAACCAAAGTGACGAACCTTGATCATCAATTGCTTAAGAGGAGTTTATGAGAGTGTTGTACAGTAAAGGCCCTTAACCCTGCGAGGGATATGTGTTAATGATACAATACTTCAACTGCCCTGCCTATGCACTTCTTAACCTTTGGTTCTTTATAATGGAAAACTAGTTGGAGTATTAATGGGTTTATATGGAGTGTCTGATATGTACTGATCCTGGGCTGTAAGAGAAAATGTATTCATAATATCTACAGGTAATTTCCGTAGTGTTTATGTCTGTGCTTCCAAAGGTTTAACCATTAGTTCTGTATAATAGAAACTAAGAGATCATAAGGAGTGTTTTGATGTGTACAGGACCTGAACACTGGAAGAAATTGTTTCCTGAGTGTGGCGGTAGAAGACAGTCTCCCGTCAACATCAACACTCACGACGAAGAGAGGGACGACGACGGCGGCTCTTGGCCTCGCTTTCACTTCCACAACTTCAACACCATCCCCAACTCCATGACCATCCTCAACACCGGCGAGTCAGGTAGCCTTGACACTCGGATATGCTGCCCTGCAGTTGTTATTATGAAATATTATTCTAATCATTAACGGACCAGAACATTGTGACAATAAAAGTAATATTTCTGTTCAGATATTTAACGAAGATTGACACAATATCCATATATCGGTTTAAACACCACTTAAATATACTAAACAAAAAATTAATACAGTGATAATTTATATATTAACATGTTAAGGATTAAGAGCATTTATTAAGATAATGACTTGTGTAATTACTGAAATAATGATGTGGTGATAATGTTGTTTTTCTCTCTCAGCTCAAGTGTCGTCTGAGCAGCTGAGGGCGTCTGTGAGTGGCGGGGCGCTGGGAGCTGAGTACACCTTCCTTCAGTTCCACTTCCACTGGGGCAGCAGCAACAAGTTAGGGGGATCTGAGCACACAGTCAACCACCGTAGGTGAGTCAGACACCCAAACTGAGCCCTCTGCTGAATTACACATCCTAGACGTGAGTCACACACCATAGAGGAAACTGAGGGTGAAACAGTTGCTCTCTCTTCTAGCACCATACATAAGAGAGAGTCACTTGTTCTCCACGCAGTACCTGCCGCCAGTGCAAGTCAGGTAAATTTGTTGTCACATTTTCTATACAACAATACGCAGTAGAACACACATCACGAGGGAAAACACATCAACACCACCTGGAATATTAATTCTTGTGGTACACGACAGCTGCATTATCTGCTTTCCGAAGAGTAATTGTCGGATGTAGGAGTGTTCAGAGTGTGAGACCAAACAGAGGCCCACATTTTTGTGACACTAACTTTAAATATAGAAAGCTGACTTAACTAGATTTACTTTTTTTATGTTACTGGCTAGTTACCTTTTCCATTGTTGTATGTAGTTGGCAACCTAGTATACGCTGCCGTTTACTCCGAACTTTAAGGTAAAAATAAATTTCCCTTATTCTAGGCCTACGGTAATCAATGTGTTTTTTTTAGGACTTTATACTTTTATATCACAACAGCTTATGGGTGTATTATTAAAATAAAGTAGTGTGGGGCTCAGGGCCCCCACATGACAGAGCTAATCAGGGTCCCCAAACTTGTGACCTGCACAGGACCCCACAGGCCTTAATCCAGCACTGCACAGAATTACAGTACATAGAAAACGTCAGTTATAGTGATCATACACGTCAAGTATAGTCATCAAACACGTCAGTTATAATCATCAAACATGACAGAGAGATAGATAGATAGATAGATAGATAGATAGATAGATAGAAAGATAGTTAGATAGATATTCAACTAAATCGTCATTCTCATGTCAGGGAGGCAGCAGAGCTACACATGGTGTTCTTCAAGACGGAGTACGGCAACTTTAAGGAGTCCCTCAATTATCGTGACGGTGTAGCAGTGTTCGCCGTCTTCCTCCGCCTCTCCCGACACGACAATGCCAACCTTCGTACTGTTGTGGCCGGCCTCTCCAGTATCAGACACCATAGTCAGTGGCTCAGATTGTTCGTGTTGTTCTGGTATGGTGTTGGAATACTACTACTATAATATGAATAATAATAATGGTAATAAGAATGATAATCTGAGCTAATATACAACTAAACATTCAGCATTATCATGTATATTATCAACAAGAAGAACCTTCCATAACTTGTTCACACAGACGACACAGCCCATATCCTGCCCATTCCTCTGAGCGCTGTGCTGCCCCCCTACCTCACCGAGTTCTACCGTTACTACGGTTCTTTCACCACCCCTGACTGTAATGAAGTCGTTACCTGGACAGTGTTCAAGCATCCTATCACCATCTCCAGCACTCAGGTATTAACATCTGCATTCATCTTCAGTTTATAGCTGGTATAACAAACGACCTAAACTATTTGATATACTGTATCTTAAAAGGAAAAAAAAATAAATGGTTGCTACGTTGATACTACTACTAATAATAATAATAATTAATAATAATAATAATAATAATAATAATAATAATAATAATAATAATAATAATAATAATAATAATAATAATAATAATAATAATAATACTAATAATAATAATAATCACGTCTCCCCTATGCACAGTTGAAGAAGTTCAGGTCGCTGGTTTTCGAGGATGGTAAACCAATGCAAGACAACTTCCGTCCAGTCCAGCCACTGAATGGTCGTAAGGTGAGGAGAGAGATAACGAGTAAGAGGGAGTGACAGGAGAAAGGTAGAGAGAAACTGGAAGTAATTAACTCCTGGGAAAGGCGTGTATGTTGCTGTTACTTGTGAAAGACGAACCAATAATACAACATGAGGGAATTAAAATGACAAATAATACAACATGAGGGAGTTAACATGACCAATAATTCAACATGAGGGAGTTAACATGACAAATAATACAACATGAGGGAGTTAACATGACCAATAATTCAACATGAGGGAGTTAACTTGACCAATAATACAACTTGAGGGAGTTAACTTGACCAATAATACAACGTGAGGGAGTAAACATGACTAATAATATAACATGAGGGAGTTAACATGACAAATAATACAACATGAGGGAGTTAACTTGACCGATAATACAACATGAGGGAGTTAACTTGACCAATAATACAACGTGAGGGAGTAAACATGACAAATAATACAACATGAGGGAGTTAACATGACCAATAATTCAACATGAGGGAGTTAACTTGACCAATAATACAACTTGAGGGAGTTAACTTGACCAATAATACAACGTGAGGGAGTAAACATGACTAATAATATAACATGAGGGAGTTAACATGACAAATAATACAACATGAGGGAGTTAACTTGACCGATAATACAACATGAGGGAGTTAACTTGACCAATAATACAACGTGAGGGAGTAAACATGACTAATAATATAACATGAGGGAGTTAACATGACCGATAATACAACTTGAGGGAGTAAACATGACCTATAATACAACGTGAGGGAGTAAACATTACCAATAATGCAACTTGAGGGAGTAAACGTGACCAATAATACAACGTGAGGGAGTAAACATGACTAATAATATAACATGAGGGAGTTAACATGACCGATAATACAACTTGAGGGAGTAAACATGACCTATAATACAACACGAGGGAGTTAACATGACCAATAATGCAACGTGAGGGAGTAAACATGACCAATAATACAACGTGAGGGAGTAAACGTGACCTATAATACAACGTGAGGGAGTAAACATGACCAATAATACAACGTGAGGGAGTAAACGTGACCTATAATACAACGTGAGGGAGTAAACATGACCAATAATACAACGTGAGGGAGTAAACATGACCAATAATACAACGTGAGGGAGTAAACGTGACCTATAATACAACGTGAGGGAGTAAACGTGACCTATAATACAACGTGAGGGAGTAAACATGACCAATAATACAACGTGAGGGAGTAAACATGACCTATAATACAACGTGAGGGAGTAAACATTACCAATAATACAACGTGAGGGAGTAAACATGACCTATAATACAACGTGAGGGAGTAAACATGACCAATAATACAACGTGAGGGAGTAAACATGACCAATAATACAACGTGAGGGAGTAAACGTGACCTATAATACAACGTGAGGGAGTAAACATGACCAATAATACAACGTGGAGTAAACCAATAATACAACGAGGGAGATAAACGTGACCTATAATACAACGTGACATGACCAATAATACAACGTGAGGAGTAAACATGACCAATAATAATACAACGTGAGGGAGTAAACATGACCTATAATACATATGACCAATAATACAACGTGAGGGAGTAAACATGACCTATAATACAACGTGAGGGAGTTAACATGACCAATAATGCAACGTGAGGGAGTAAACGTGACCAATAATACAACACGAGGGAGTTAACATGACCAATAATGCAACGTGAGGGAGTAAACATGACCAATAATACAACGTGAGGGAGTAAACATGACCTATAATACAACGTGAGGGAGTAAACATGACCAATAATGCAACGTGAGGGAGTAAACGTGAATGAACTACCGCAAAAGTATAAGGAACCAGGAAGTAATGAATACAGTAATAAACATCATGGTGACGATGACAAACAATATGTTTGTAGATTTTTATCATTATATGAAGAAATAATGAAGAGAAATTTCAGCTTTAGAGCTAGAGAAATAGTTCATGAGTTAGTACATTTTCTGTTATCTAACACATGTTTATCTTGTCCCCTCAGATCTATCAGAGACCGAAAGGCAACGACGACTCTTGAGTTCGACGGTATCAGTAAACTCAACGTATTTTCACAATAACCACCAAACTCAGCACAGTAGATCATGAGGGTCGTAACACGGTGAACAAAAGCACATTTTATATATCTTGAAGGCTGTCATGGATGTGCAGATTCAGAAACTCACAAGCTCTAGAATTTTCCTAATACCTCGTTGGCTGTGACGTCACTGATGTAACAACATGGCCACCAACTTCCTCAAAACGTCCATAATTGACCTTCTTCAGTTTGTAGTTAGATGTTATAGTGATTGATTATATGTTGTTGAGAACAATAAATATATTGGAGAAACTTACTTATCACTTATATGTCCTGCACACTATAATTATATTCTATTGGTATCAACTGTTTGGGTTGTGAACTGAGCCACACTCACAGGAAGCTTCGTGGTTTAGACACACACACACACACATACTGTTTATGTGACTGTGACTTACAGAAACAATTAGGTTTATTAAAAAATAATTTACATGGCGGAGGATACTGTTTCATATAACACAAGTTAACGATATATTAAAAAAATCATAACATTCTGTCATTAACTGAAATGATATAAAATACAAGTAGTGACACCCTCAACATACACCGCCCCTTACGTATTCCGATTTACTGTATGTAAGCTCTCACCAAAAACTTCTCCAACTGCTGGGCACGATGGATGTGAGAATGATCAGAATGGGGCTTGTCATCTCGGAATGGTTTCAGATTCTTCGTTCATTTATCAGAATGCATAATGATATAGCGGTCGAGAAGTTATTGGTGAGTGTACATATAGCTGTATATACTTCTCTATACTAAGTATTAAAATATGAAGTAGTATATAATATCATAAGCAGTGCCGGATTAACCATGAGGCACTTGAGGCACTGGCCTCAGGCCCACCGACTCTAAGGGGCCTCCAAATCCAAACATTCTCGAAGTTGAAGCATATAAACATGAACTTCGTTCAACGATGTCTTAGCAAAGTCTCGATTTTCTGTCTCTTATGAACATTAAATGTGTTATTTTGCAGAAGCTTAATATTGATGAAATCATTGACAAATTTGGGTATATTTTGTTCTTGATATTTATATATACCTTGAGGGTAGGGGGCCCCAAGTTGATCTGAGCCTCAGGCCCCTATTAAGCTTAATCCGGCCCTGATTATAAGCCTAGTTATTCAGGAGGGAAAATAAAGTGATTGAATAAATACGCCGCGAAATGACTAGGATATATATAGAACTTTGGCTGGAAGTGGGAATTTATACCTTTAATGAAAACTCGCTGTGCAATTTAATTATATGTTTACCGAATACAAAATTTTCAATTTATTGTTTACTTAATTTTACTTTAGAACATCATTAACATTAGGCTGGGAGCAACATCAACCAAGGACTAGCAACATAATTCATAGGAGGTGGATGCATCTATCCTCAGGAGAGGAAATCTGCAAACCACTAGATACTATGCAGGGGCAGATCCACGGTGGGGGGTCCAGGGGGTCCAGACCTTCCCCTTTTCATCAAAAAATTCCAATACTTTTCTTTAATGCGGTATTGTACTGAGGCGTTTCGGTAAATTAAAAATAATTCAATTTCAATTTCAATATATTATTCCTTGATAGAGGAAGCGGGATCCTTGTGCTGTCACTAGGTAGCCCTGTACAATAATACCAGAAGCATCTGGCAAGCGTCACAAGTACATATAAATATTACTAAGGGGCTTACTAAAGCCTAAGGAAGGAAGGATATTTCTTCAACACATCATCAATATTATTTACATAATATCTGGCTAGTATGGGGAGGATCATCATGTTTCCTTCAGGAGGTCTTGGGGTGGTGGTCCAACAGGCGTCACGGAAGCGTTGTGTGTGTGGGGACATCGGAGGTAGTATGCGAGGGTGCGGCTGTCGGGTAGGGTGTGTCAATTTTGTCAACATGTTAAAAATCAAATTTGGTAGTCAAAATATTGTGCCTCTTTATGTCTAAACTTGAGATTAGCAAACAAAAATGAATTGAAATAACCCTCACCTACATCAATTATACCTTAAAGTTTCAAATATCAGTATTTCAACAAATTAATGAGACTTGATTAGAATTATTCACTTGATATTAACTAATCTCATGTAAGCATATGGATTATGGAGTATTTTATGGTTCTATAGCTTGTGTACAATATGCATGTCAGAACATGAACATGAACAGGCTCTCCGTGTGGGACAGTTTAATTCTTGTTTTGACTTGTACCAAGCGTGAGGATAAGGCGCCCGGCTCACTCTCCTTCTAGATATCATAGACGGTGGTTTGCTCTCATTGCACTTGCACCTACTCTACCAGACGAATTCTACATTTTAATTATTGTAAGTAGGGCATATTGATTGTCGCAGTTACTTATATCATTGTATAAAACATTATGTTCTAAGAAATTATTATGTTATTTCTGTTACAGCATTTTTGATAAACAAATTGATATTTTTTGAAACAACAATTGAATTATGAAACATTGAAATATTTTTCTATTTGTCAGATAGTGTGAAGATGTCAAAATTGAAGACAAGAAGTCAGTTGTCAACCCACTTGAGCCTGCTAGTTGGTAAAGGGAAGGAGCTTCCTGTATCAGAACTTCCAACAGTGAGAGACATGCTAAGATTAGGGTTACTCCTTCGAGAAAAAAATGCAAAGGACAGAAGGAACTATACAGATAAAGAACTCATAAATGACATGATAGTCCCTCTTCTGCATCAATGGACAAAAGCTAATGCACTATTCAAACCACCTGTGATTAATCAGTGTCGAACTATTGAGCTAAAACTAACGAAATTATGGCACAAAGCAGTTGAAACATCACTTGGTAAAGGAAACTTGGCCAGGAAAAATGAATTTCTGCACACACTTGATACTCTGTTTGACATTTTGACCTGCAAGTGCTCCATACAATTATGTTCTGAATCCAACTGTTCTCACTCAGGTAAGAGAGAAAATAATTCCCACATTGATTGTGGTTGTCCTCGTGAAAAGAAGATCCCTGTTTTAGAGCTTGAATTTATAAAGGCACAGAGGACAAAGGCAGAAGGCCAAGGAAGTATGCAAATGGGTTCAATAGATTATTCAGAAACAAAGAAGCAGATTGCTAATGCCAAGAAGAGAGAACAAATCCGAGAGAGGGAACAAAAGAAGAAAATGAAGAGTGAAGAAGCCATCCAAAGAGAGGAAGAGCTGTGTCAAGATGTTTATCACTTCTTTGATAGTTCTTCTGATGAACAGGAAGCAACATCAGATGATAGTTCCAAAGAGCCATCTGAACCTTTACCAAAGAAAATGAAATACAACACAAGAAATATTTCAAACATTGCTTTAGCTAGTATTCGCCACCATGCTGGACTTCGTGAGGCTGCAGAAATTGCAACTGCCGCTTGGATAGATGCAGGCCTCATCAGCCGAGAGGATGTATCTTTGGTGATAGATCATAATAAAATTAGAAGAGCACAAGAAAAAATAATGAAGGAAATATCTGATCAGCATGAAAAAGATTTAAGCGAGGGAGGGCTCTCCTGTCTTTTGTTTGATGGAAGAATAGATGACACAAAAGTTTTGCTAGAAGTAGAGGGAGTGAACAGAAAGTTTCCAGGTCTCATCAAAGAAGAACACTACTCTGTCTGTTCTGAGCCTGGTGGTCGGTTTTTGTTTCACTTTGCTCCCGAAACTGAAGTAGAAGGGAAGAAACATGCAGAGGTCATTGCTGATCATATTTTATGTTGGGTTCAGGAGAGAGGACTTGGCAGTTCACTGCAGGCTGTTGGTGGAGATTCAACTGCAGTGAACACCGGATGGCAGGGGGGTGTAATGACGCATTTAGAGAAAAAACTAGGAAGAAGACTTGTTTGGATTGTATGTGATTTACATACAGGCGAGCTACCTCTTCGTCATCTCATCCAGGAACTTGATGGTCCTACAAAGAGCAACAACAAGTGGTCAGGTCCCCTTGGCATCATGCTGGATGAAGCAACACAACTAGAAATAAATACAACCTTTCCAAAGGTCGAAGTTGGCCCTCCCCTTCCGGCGTTGTCTGAAGGAGTCATCAAAGATCTCAGCACAGATCAATCCTATGCTTATCGTATTGCCCAAGCAATAAGATCAGGAGAAGTGCCTCAGTCATTGGCTCTCTTGGAGATTGGACCTGTCAGTCACAGCCGTTGGTTAACTACAGCTCTTCGTTTCTGCAGGATTTGGATTTCCAAACACGAATTGAAGGGCAAAGTGCTGAAGAATTTGAGGTTAATTGTTGAATTTATTATTGGAGTTTATCTTCCCCAGTGGTTTAGTGTGAAACTTAATCCTATGTGGGTGGATGGGCCCAATCACCTTTTGTTTCAATTGCAGCTAGTAAGAACACAGAGGAAGGTAGTGAGGGACATCGTGTTACCTGTGGCAAGAAGGTCCGCTTGGTATGCTCGATCAGAAGCAGTTTTGCAAGCAATGCTTTGCAGTCAATGTACCAATCTCCGAACCGAGGCTGTAGAAGTCATTCTAAAGATTAGAGGAACGCTAATAGATGACGACCAGTTGGGAGACTGTTCGTTTCATTCAAGAAAAGTTCCCCCAATAAACGTCAATGCCACCAAATTGTCAGAATTGGTTGACTTGAGTTTGGAAGTCTTAGAGCCACCATTGACAACAAGTCTAACTAGCCAAGAATTGAGAAACCTTAAAGAGACTCCAATGCAGGTGCCGAAGTGGCCTTCCCACACTCAAAGTGTGGAGAGATGTGTGAAAATGGTCACAGAAGCAGCGGGCCATGTTTACAGCCACGAGAGGCGAGAAGGTTACATCAAAGCACAAATAGCAAGCAGACTACTGATGACAAGAAACCAAAGCAAAGAGAGTATGAAGGCATTGGTTACTTTCAAATAGACTACGGATAATAAAATATAATAATTTGAAACTTGAAACAGTAACATGTGTGCAAACGCTGGTTATGTTATAAATTCACAAATATGTACA